AAGGAAAAAGTTGTTCCAATTCATCCCCCGAGTGCCACATTTCCGGGTCGGAGGACATTTTTGAGACACCCTGTATATATATTAAATTCGAATAAACACAATTATTAAGACTAATACAACACGCGTTGAACAATTAGAAATTTTAAAATTAAAACGTCTCACGAATCTCTATCAGCGTGTGGTCTTCGGGGAAGATGAGCTTTCACGAATCTCCATCAGCGTGTGGTTTTCGGGGAAGATGAGCTTTCACGAATCTCCATCAGCGTGTGGTTTTCGGGGAAGATGAGCTTTCACGAATCTCCATCAGCGTGTGGTTTTCGGCGAAGATGAGCTTTCACGAATCTCCATCAGCGTGTGGTTTTCGGGGAAGATGAGCTTTCAGCGACCACCGAAAATCACTCCTCTTCGGTATTCACCCAGGCTCTTGGGAAAACCGCTCAAAACCCAAGAGAAAGAGGATGCTGATTCGACGAAGTCCCAGTGATTCAAAATGTTCCTTGTGAGCCGGCGAGCCAAGTTGAGGATGTATAAACTTTAGCGTATCCCACCGCTGTCACCAAATTTATTGCGGCCTTTTCCAGGGATTTCTTTTAAAAAAGATAAATCAGGCGTGAATCCTCGCCCGTGGAGCCCTGAAGAACTCTGCTCGTTAGGAAATTTTAGACGTCTTTTAAAGGAGACAACTTTAATTTGAAGAACACGTCTTTATTTATCGAGGGTCAATACTGGAATGGACTCCTTTACAAAACGATCGTTTTTGTTACATCTTGTTAATTACAATATGTCCTTAGATACCAGGAGCCAATAAAATAATTATTAAATTATGAAATAATTCCTGATTTGTTAATACATTTCTTTCAGCTATTCATTTTATAATTTTCAAGTGTTTAACATATTTGCCATGATTTAATATATTTTAGAGAAGGAGTAAAAGCGAAATTCGACTGTTAAAATATAATATAAGTTAAATATAACTTCACTTCTATCTCCTTTTCTAATTACGATCATATACCTTAATTTGAATTTCACGCTTGTGAAGCTTACGCTAGACGCCGCTACAAGATCAGGGCGAGATTCACAACAGGCCACCTGGCGTGTCCCTAGGGAGTTACACATACTCCCTACACCACCCCCCCCACCCAAAGTGACGACGGGTGAGGCGCGAGACCATTTACACGGTGTAACAAAGCAAAAAAAATTTGTTGGAAAATATATGCCTATGCTATGTACAACTTAAATTCTAAATAACGCTTATAATTAGGACTAGTCTACAGGAACTTTGGTATCGTTACGCCGTATATCACCATGCGCTTACATACTACCGTCTCTCTCGGTAATGTCCACTGCGAAGACTGGTTTGAGACCTGGCGTGTCCCTAGGGAGTTACACATGCTCCCTACATACCTAATCGATTGGTAGTCTTCGGTGGCCTAATTAGAACATTTGATGGTCACGCATTCTTTTATAAGTAAGTGATCAAAATTTGACCGTGAAGTTAGCCGAAACTTTTTTTTTCGCTGGATTCAGTTTTTTAAATGCTCAATCGATGCGTAATCGTTTGGTGGTCATTGTTAGCCTAATTAAAACAGTTGGTGGTACTTAGTTTCTTTAAAAAAACAAAAAAAAACGATGTAGTCATCTGGCAGTTCAGGATACAGGTGTACCAACGTACATTTAAAGTTGATAAAACAGATATTTCTGGATTGATTATCTTTTCGGATGAATCTAGTCGACCGAAATTTTGCTTTATAGGTTATGTATAGATTATGTTAACTTTTCAGCACCATTGGTGTATTTACCTTTTAGAAATTTATAGTTCACACAGATAGAATTTCAAAAATATAAGTGGTAAACAAGTTTTTTTAAACAATTATTAATATTCGATTTTTTGTAAGCTATTTAATATTGGCACTTAAAAAATTAACTACTCTAAATTTGTTATGTAAATCAGTTAGGTTATAAGCAATAATTTACACAGTTCTTGATAATGCATAAAAAAATATATGAAAAAATTGCAATGGGTTTGCATCACGAAGAAAATAATCAAGATCCAGTCAATAGCGATCAATAGTTCGCAAGTTCGAGCGAATCGCTTGAAGCGACTAATATTAGTCGACTGAAAGTAGTCGTTGGTTACTATCGACTTAGTCGATAGTTTTTAATCGATGGTGCCCATCACTAATACCAAAAGTATCGAGTAATGTACTCGTATTTACTTGTATCGATTCATCCCTAACTATAAGACTGCACAATCTATTATACAGGGTGTAACAAAAATGTTGGAGGCCCTGAAATGGGAGACTTGCGAGGTGATTTGAAACAAGTTTTTCTTTAGCAAAAATGTTATCCGAGATATAAATGAAAAACCCCGACCGATCAGAGCGCGAGTCTGCCAGCCGATTTCTCGCGGTAACGTTGGCTACACGCTGCGATTGGTGAGAATGTAACCAATCGGACCAAGCATTCTTTCCGCAAGCCACATCTCAGCTAATAACACACAATAACCACATAATAACAATGCAATGAATTTTATGTTTTCGGTAAGCGATACAAACCGCCAGAGAATAATAATTGATGTTCTCTGACTTTTCTATCAAGAAATTGTCTTAATTCAGGTAAACCACATTCCATTGCTCCTGGACCTTGAGATGCAAACATTTTTAACATTTGATGGATTCTTTCCAAAGGCATTGAATCTAAATTAGTCAACATTCCAACAATGTAGGACCAAAATACTTGTAATTCTTCCTCTCTTTGATCACTTGCAGATGCCATCACGCTTTCCACTTCTTCTTCTTCAACGACATCCGGTAAAGATCTATTTTTTGTGGAACTTTCTTCTTGTAATGTGAAAACATCATTAGAACTTTCTCTTAAAATACCCTGCGAGACCCAGAATGTTATTTTTCTTCTGAGTACAGTTGCAGGAGCATGCATTACTTCTGCTAATTCTTCTAACGTCCACTCTTCTGTAAAATCCATTTGAAGAATATGGACAATAAGAATAACAATCTACTATCCTGATAAAAACTTATTGTAATATGTTATACTTATAAGTATCATTAGATTATTATAAAATTGATATAAATTATAATATTACTTACTCTTGTCTTGGAAATGCAAAATTATCGTAGCATGTATTGGCGTCACATTTATATCTAACTTTCTGTCCTTTAATTCAATTTCTAGTGTAACGTTCCCAAGATGAGGTTTCCAACAAAGCGTTCTATTTCCTTTCAAGGTTTCAAATGCCTTTACATATTTATTTAATTGATTTTGCACAACTTTAGGTAACTCCAATTTCCAGTTCTCTTTAAAAGGTGGCCAAAATTGGGCTGATAGTATCAAAGCAGATGTAGGAAATTCCTCTTTCTCGAAAGTATAATTATTATCGGATTGTATATGTCCATCTATTCTCTTAGAATCATACACATCTTTCAACATAACTTCACAATAGTGAAGTTGATTTTCTCCGAAACGCCTTTTCAATAATTCTAAGTGACGAATCTCTCGTTCAGTATGGTAATTTAATTGAGATAACAATCTGTCTGCCAATAGCGTACGATATTCATTTACAAATAAATCCTGACTCCCATATACACTCACTAACATTGAGATTATGTCTGACACTCTGCGTTGTGCTGATTTTGCTAAAAGATTAAGTAGATTAAAATTATGATGTTATTAAAATTTATTACAAGTAATCTAAGTTCGATGTTCTATGTATAAGTATACCAGGATCTGCATCAACAGGATCAGGCATCCATTTATTCCAATCTTCATTTTCTTCTTCATCAGAATAATCATCCAGCTGTAGAGTTTCACCTTTAACTAATTCATCTGCTAAATCACTTGATGAATCATCAAGTAAGTCACTCACAACACAACGTACAGTATCTTCTCTTGTTCTCAAATAAACTCTAAATCAAATAAAAAAGAATACAAATTGTTGTGAAAAAATTGACAATGAACATATTTAATAGAACAGTAATTACTTAATAGGTTCTGTTATTGTTTCAAGAAGAACTCCTGTAGGATCTAACTGTTTTAATGCTCGTATAGCTGCAATATATGCTGTTAATATATCGGGTGTATTTACACCTGGATGCAATAATCTTGTTGTTAAAGCTTCTTGTAAACTATCAATTAAAGCTTTCCGCAGATCAGTTCGTTCCAAACAAATACGCAAATCATCTATTGCTGGTTGAGAATCGGGATACTCTAAACACAAAGATAACATAAATAGAAACATAAACATCATAAAAACATACGAATCGTTTATTATGAAAGTGGTATTTCCATTTATGGTCCATGAAAACACTTCTTGTTTTTTAATTTACATAAATCTAAGTTCTGAAAAACATGGACAAAACATAGCAACATTTATCAATAATTTTAAATCGATCGAAGTACAAACCTTTGAATATTTCGTCACAATAAATAATGGACTTCCACCACTTTTGAAATAAACGATTCATACAGGATTTATGCTTAGTATATAAATATACATTGCTCCTGGAAAGGTGAGTCATACTTAAGGACTTTCCGTATGAAGATATATAATATACAGGGTGGGGCAATAACCATTACCACCTCAGATATCTTTGAAACTATAAGGTTCACAAAAATATTTGTTTAACAAAAATTGCACAGTACAAAGAGAGCCATCCGATGGCGCTAATAGTTTTTTTTGCAGGCGGAGTTACTTTGGATATTTTAAGGTCACCTCCATTTTTTTAAAATGGAACGTATGCTTTTGTTTCCGTAGAATGATAGAGGAGCTTATATACACGCCCTCACGTGTTTATAAGTATGTACGAAAGGCGTATATATACGCCCTCTAAATTTTTCTTACAATAACACATTTACCGTTTTATTAAACTGATCTAACATAGAAAGAAATTTTTTTATTTGTATATTTTTTGTCAGCAACTGACTATTTTTTTTAAATGGCATGCTACACTTTTTTATCCCCAGTAAAATAGCGGATGTTTATACGATTTTAACGACCTATAATACAAGGACATTCGACGTTAAATACAGGAGTAAAACAACGATTTTTACGTCGTAAGCAGTTCTTGAAGTGGTGCCCGTTTACGTCCACGTAACATTGCGTTTGTTGTTTTTCCCTTTATTCAACGTCGCATGGCGTTGTATTATAAGTCGTTAAAATCATCCAAGTATTCACTACTATACAAGGGATAAAAAAAGGTATAGCAATCCACTTAAAAGCATAGGAGTCATTTAATACCAAATCGATAACTTTTTAAACTTAATGTTAAAGATTTTGTTCAAAATGAAATATGATGTAGCGCACGTGAACTTGGTGGGGCATTTTTTCGCAATGGCGCACGATATATGTGTTGAGACAGATTGGAGGAACCATTAAAGGATTTGCATATGCTTGCAAAGACTAAGGAAACGATTTTTTAATTTAAAATAAATATAGTATGAACTCAATACGATGAATAATTTTCGAAATAAAAATTCACAAAACACATCGATTTCACGAAAATAGGCAAAAGTTGCCAACTTCGACGGCCCGTATTTTTTATTAAGTTATGACTTCCCCCCAACCCCTCATCCCAATTTCACATCATATTTCATTAAATCCTTGATATCAAGTGTAAAAAGTGATCAATTTGGCGTGGAATGACCCAGAGGTGTCCTTAAAATTTCCGAAAACCATGTTATAGCTCCCTTGATATCATACAACTATTGTAAATAAAGTTTTTTTTTATTTCCAAAAATAACGGAGATATTCGAAGTGATCAAAGTTATTATTCCACTCTGTATATACCGGGTGTCCCATGTAAATGTCGCCACAAAATTTCAAAATTTTCCTTAACATTACAATAATTGTGTTAACGGGTGAACTATAATTAAGTGTGTATAACTTTCGTAAATTAGAGTTTCTTTATCTGCATTGTTTTAAAAAAATAAATGTTACCTTTTTTTAAATTAAATTAAAGTATTTTATAAATATTTTTCATTAAGATAAATCGTCACAAATTCAAAAACTATAAGTATGTTACCAAAAAAACGTAAATAACGTATAAAAAGGTAACAAAATAGCGAACGCCTTGTATACCAAGACGGTGTACAATTTCTGTTGACTTTTTTTACTATATTTGTATTTTTCTGTAACATATTTATAGTCACTGAATTTGTCACAATTTGTTCTAATGTAAATTATTATTAAAAAGTGCTTTAATTTCATTTAAAAAACAAAAGGTAACATTTATTTCTTCAAAAGAATGTGAATAAAGAAATTCTGATTTACCAAAGTTCTGCACACTTAAATTATAATTCAACTGTTGTTTAACACTATTTTTTGTAAAGTTAAGGAAAATCTTGAAATTTCGTGACACTTGCGTGGGACACCCTGCATATATAATAATGTATACAGTGTATAAAAGAATACCTATTATAATATCAAAAAGCTGTTCAATTCTAAATCTTGTATATGTTTCGTACAAAAAGTGAGACAACTTTTGTTTAAATTTATCTATAGCATTACGAGTTTGTTCACTTAAGGAAATGATTTTTGAGAAGCCACCAGAATATACTCTGATTAACCAACTCATGACAACTGTTTCAAGCCACTGCAAAATCAAATACAAATAACAGTTTTTCATTTAATATTTATATAAATACCTTGTATAATTTATACTATACATATGTGTATGAATACATATAGTACTCTATGTGAATATTAAATCCTTACATTTTCCAGTGATTCTAACTGTGAGACATCAAATGTTTTATCACATGATTGATTTACATGATTCTTGATATGTATATGTATTAACAATGTCAAAACATTTCCTGCTAATCTTTCCAATAATTCCAATTCAATCAGCTTTCTATTTGTTTCATGGAACATAATTACTATCTGTTGACAATGACATTTTTCCACTTCCTGATAACAACCTATACACTGTAGATAATTGCTACTGGATGTTGTTACTAAAAAAAACAGATATCTACTATCAAAAATTTTACAAGTAATAAATGTAAAAATTATGCAGAGCATGCAAAAAGTTTGTCAAACTTTGAGGTCTGATTGCATTTATTAAAGTTACTTACAAAAGGGTAATAAATATGAATTAAAATTATTTCTTTATATATTACAATAAAGTCTCAAGGACATTCAAATATAAAGGAAATGCAAGATTCATTGAACTGTATTGCACTTATCCAAGATACAAAAAGTTATCATGTTAAAACAATTTAGGAAGTTACTTTTGGGCATAAAATCATTAATATCTTACATAATTTAAACTAAAATGCCATATAACTTACAAGGGAGTATCCCGAACCTGAAAATTAAAAAATTCTGAAACTTTGGGAAAATCTAGGAGATTTTCTCCTGATTACAGCGCCATTTTTGTTTGCTGCCCAAATTCACTCTAAGTTATGAAATTAACTCCTGAACATTCGGAAATTATCCGATTTTGTGTTATAATTCGCGAACTGTAAGAGATAGAAAAAAAGTTTCAAGACAAAAGTTACTTCTTTTGATTAGATATATCAAATGGTAAACGATTTACCAATTATTTAAACAATGATAAGAGTTATAAATAAAAATATCAGTAGTTTTTAAAATTTGATTTTTCACGCGAAATCTGAATTGGTGGTTTAAATAATTATCAGACAGCATAATCCATTTTTTTTTCATACACATTCAACCTTTCTTGTATCGCTGAATTGTGTGCCTCGATAATCAAAGAACTTCTGGGTCCCATTGTAATGTACAGAACTGAATAGAATCTTGTCTTAAACTATGTAAATGTTTTGTTTTATCTGTAGCTACTGATAAATGAATATAAGTGTAAAACCCTATGATTGCTAGTATAGCGTAAACAGATGAAAATGTTTCATGACTCTATTGCGTTTATTGCTGCAATATGGTAGCAAATCAAAAATTGCTTGTTCCATTTGAGTTTCCCTGTCACCGCTCAAAATATTGAAACCTATTCTTGGGATACTGTGTGTATGAAATTCAAATTTTGTGCACATTTAATATTGTACATAGCAGATACTTATTTAAAATTATTGTAATATTAATCTTGATACTCTTACTACAAGACAAAAGTGACACCACATGCGATATATGAGCAAGTATACTATTTTGCATTTATTTTTCTCTATTTCCTAGAAAGAAATACGTATGTATAAGATTTTATGTATATTTTATGATAAATGCTCAAAAGGTAATGTGCTACAATGAAGCCTTTAATCAACAATGTATACTGGTAAACATATATAACTTCCATATATCTATGGTAAGCTGAAATATTATTAAATTTTTGTATGTACTACTACCACTTTATACACATAATGCTTGTTTACATAACATGTTAGTAGACAAAATTAATTAATATTTAAATTCATATTTGTTATATAATAGTTCAACGAGAACTGAATTTCAAAATTTGACAATAACTTTTATGTACATATGTAAATTATATCAAATTATCACTGAATATTATAAAAGAAAATATAATATAAATAGTGGCTAAAAATGAAATTTGAATACTAATTACCTTGTGTAGAATTGTCTGTACAACTAAATACATTAAATGCAATTTTATAAAACTGCTCTACAATATGCTCGTAATGAAGTGGTATCTGACTTAGTAATGTCGATCTTACAATTAATTTAAATCGACTTAATACATCACTCTCACTTGCTGCAGAATGAACTGTTCCTTCTTGTAAAAGATATTCTAATCTTTTTAACACTGGTAAAAATTCTGTCATACGTGCATATAATCCATCTACTGCACTTTTAAATTGTTCAAAACCTAGTTGTTTATCTACAGTAAATGTGAATTTTTTCCAAAATGTGGGAGTCACATTTTGTCGCATATGATACTTTATCTGATAAATGACCATATCCTCGACTAAATATGTCAAATTTAATGCCTTTATTTCATTTACTATTTTGGTAAATTCTTCATCTCTGCATTCATTCTGAAGCTACAACAAAATATTTTGTTTTTACAGTATACTGATGAAAACAAGTCATTCAAAGTTATTTTAATCAAATATGTACTATATTAAGAGACATCAATAAACACTATAACCACGGATACACTAAAACATTAATAATTTATTTTTAAATGTTATAAAATAATTATTTTTAAGGAACATTAATCAATTATTTTCAATTGATTCATTTTACAATTGTAAGACATTCATTAAATTTTAACAAACCTTTCCACTTAAAATAGGAAATGCATACTCTATACGAGATATTACATCACTTTCATTACTATCGAGTTTATCCATATTATTTAAAACGGATAAATTTTCAATAAATAAAAAATTTAATTAGATGAAAATTTTAAACACTTGGAGAAGCACAAACATCAATAAACATAGCTTAGCGATGGAAGATATTTATCGAAAACTGTACATATCGATATTTTCCTATGGATATATCGCTATATATATTTTATCGATATTTTATAACCTAATAATTACAGGTATCGATATCTCTTGTCAAAATATTGGAAATTTTGGCACAAAAGAAAGCTGCTTGGAAAAAGAATCAATACAATTATCACAATCAGTCAGAGTCATCTGCAGATGTCTGCAAGCATCTGAAGAAATTCATTGGTTGCGTTCAGAAGACACAATCCGTTGCGCAACCGTTGAGTGATTTCACTAGATTTGACTCTGAACGCTACATCTTATTGGGTGGGCGGTAGCAAATCTAGTGAAATTACTCAACGGTTGTGTCTCCTGAACGCACCCATTGTCGGAGACAAACGTGAACTGTGAAAATCTTATTCTTCAGATTTTAAATATCGCTGAGAAAAACGTCGAGGTTGGGATACCAACTTCGTTTTGCCAAATTAATATACTGACACCGCTTGATTAAAATGTTTGTAAATACTAAACGATATGCTAACTGACAGAAAGCATTCCTAAGGCATTCGGAAGAAATGATTATGTTAGAACAGTGATACATTGTATGCGATGCGAACGAACAAGTATTGACATGACACTGTATAAAGAGTTCAGACGTTTATCCGACCATCTTACATATTCTACAATTCTCGCAGTTCCATTAACCTGAAATGCATTTTGGGGTACTCATGAATATACTAACCAGTCTAGAAAAAGAATTTAATTTTGAATGTGTAAATTATTCATTAGCTCAATGAATAATTCGGTATACAGTGCATGTGGTATCCCATTTACCGCCATTTTCATCGTGCCGACCGAAAACAGGGACCCTTGAAACATCGTCAAGACGAGAATGCGCCGTAAAAGAGGACAACCGCAAGTGCAAAAAGGAGAGACTTATGCAATGGTTTCCACGTACTCGAGTAGAGTCGGCTTTCCTACGTTTTGCTATAGTGGGGGAGATTGTTTCGCCAATCGTTCAAAGGGCGACGATGGCGCCACTGAACAATCACCGATACACGCTGGCTGTTGACAGACTGGTGACCAATTGTGTTTATTACTTATTTCACTAGCAATAAAATACATTGCTTTTACCCTCAAACGTTCAAACGCGCAAATTTGGTTACTTGTCGAGTACTGAAATAAATGTTAAACAGAATGTGGTTCTTTCATGTAAGTGTGGTATGAGCACCGGCAAGGTATAGGATAGACCTATCATCTTATGGGACTTCGTGTCTCATGTTCTGAAATACCGATAGTGTAAAAAGTCATGTTGGGTTTTACCAGTACGGGTGACTTGCTCAGAACGCTGTAGAGGACCACGAGGATATCACTGAGTTATGACACGTGTTTGTAAAAGAAAACTTTATTCATCCCGAGATCGGGAGCGGCGGATAGAGACGTGCGTCTCTATCGAGAGTCGGAAGTTGAGCGCGGAAGAAGAAGAAGAGAGGGAAGGCGTCTCGACTCTTGGTTATATATGGCCTGAGGTTGGAGCTGCCAACCTTGTTGGGGCAGACTCCCTAGGCGAGTGTCTGGGGGGATTGCGCAGTGGCGCTGATATCCCCACAGTCAGGGATTTTCTGCTGCCCTCTACGTTATGAGAACGGTGAATTTGTGAACTACGTTAAATCCATTCGAGCTCAACTAGTCTAACTTCTACAGTGTTGTCAAGTCTAAAGTACAATGTTGTCAGATCATGAGTGTTCGGTACGTCGGAAAATCATCGAAGGGACCATGGTCGTGAACGGATTCTCTTCCGTCCGTTCACTGTAAAGTAGACGTATTAGAAAGGAGTCTTGGGTTCCAATCCCGACGGACCTATATTAGTTTTTCTTCGCGTACAAAAAAGTTATTGCGTTTAATATTGTTTTTATCAATATGCATATGTATTATTATGTACATTTGAGTAAATTATTTTATTATTCCATTGTTATTACAACAGTTTAATATTGACAACGAACGCATATATATTTTCAAATATCGGACTAATAGTGTATTTTTATTCTATATTATTACATATAAGTGAGTAATACGTATCAAAAACGTAATCGAAACACAGATTTTTATTACACCACAAACATCGCATAAAAGATATTTCGTTATATTGACATTTGTAATAATTGTGGATGTTGCAAGGAAATCAATATTATTGACATTATGGAACATATAACGAAATATCACTGTAACACTTAAAAAAGTTTTAAAGTTCCATTTATATCATTGTCCTGTGAAAATGTTCATACTTCCAGCAACATTCATATTCCAATCAAAGAATTTACAGAATAAGGAAAAGGAATCTAAAGTAATTTTCAGTAGTTCCATACATCTTTATCTCGAATACTTTTTTAAAACATTCAAAGTACTAGACATTTTTACACTTTGAATCTCATATCGATTTCTAAAATAATCCTAGTTCGATGTAATATAGAACGTGGTTTTATGAGATAGATTCGAAGTTCGCAGCCATTAGCTCGATATTGTCATCAGTTTACAGTACTTTACCGATGATAATACCGATTGCCCAGGCCTCACCACGAGGAGGTTGCTGCGAGTGGAGGCCCAAGGCAGGTAGATGGAATCACAAGTTCTACATCTACCCACCTTTAACAATAAACCTTATAAATAACTTAAATCTTAACTATGTAATACTATCTGTGCTGAAATCCCTCGGCGGATGACTTCTTTCATGAACCTAAACCTATAAAAAA